AAGCGTTGGGGGTGGGGCTGGGGTCTGCGGCCCTCCTGCCTCACCACCCCCGTTCTGCCCCCAGCACGATGGCCAGCCTTACTGCCACAAACCCTGCTATGGAATACTTTTCGGACCCAAGGGTGAGTGGCTAGGGGTTCTGGGGTGCCCCTCCCCTCCCCGGCTGTCCCCGGCCCCACCACCTGCCGCCTCTCTCCACAGGAGTGAACACCGGCGCCGTGGGCAGCTACATCTATGACAGGGACCCCGAAGGCAAAGTCCAGCCCTAGGCGCAGCCCCTCCAAGGGGCAGGGGCCCATCTGCCTCCCGCCGGACCCTGCCTGGGGCCCACAGCTTGGTTCTGGGCGCGGGTGACCCGCTGCCCAGCCCTGCCTCAGCGTCCTGCCTGCAAGCCCAGGGAGTTGGGGGAGGGAAACCCCCGGTCTCCTGACCTGCTCGTTGCCCGGCCCACGTCTGTGGTGTGTCTCGTCCTCTCTCTGGCGTCCCCTGTGTGTCCCCATTACCCTTTTTGTGCCTGTGTGTCTCCATATCCCCATGTTCCCATGTGTCCCTGTGAACCAGCATTTCCCCTCATGTCCCATGTACCCAGTGGGTCTTCTAGGCTGCTGTCCCGTTCTTCCTCTCCTGCTGCCCCACGCCCACCCACCAGTGTTATTTATGCTCCCTTGCTGGTGATGGCCATGCCCCTCACAGCGTTCCTGCCTCGCAAGCCCCGCCCACCAGCCTCACGTGGCTCACCCAGCTGCTGAGACTTTTGCTGTCAATAAAAGGTTTGAGTATGGCAAGGCTCAGAGCTTGTCTCTGGTTGTGCGACAGGTGTGAACTCGGGACAGCGCCCCTTTGTCCAGGGCAGGAGTGTGCCCAGCCGACACCCCCAGGCCTGGCCCTGTTCTCAGGGGTGATGACAGAGAGGGCCCCAAGATGTTTTTTGACCAGGAATCAGGGAATGGCTTGGAAGGGTAGCTTGGTCCCTGTCCCGTGGCAGTGCCCACACCGATGGTATGGGGAGCAGAAGGGCCAGACTGGGCAGAGGTGGGGAGGGTGAGGGGCATCTTGGCGCTGGGGCCCGGGGCAGGTGGGGGGCAGCCATCAAGGACAAGAGCCCTGAGTCATGCTGGGGTTGCCCTAGGGGAGGGTGGCCTTCAGGCTGAGCTTGGACCCCTGGATGTACCCCCAACCGGCACCAGAGCTGAGCTGCCAGGGTGCACTGGAGACAACAGGTGTGGAACAGCAGATAGAGGGTGGCTCTGTCTGGGATTGGGGGCAGGTGGCCAGAGGAGGGGTCCCATGCAGAACATGGGGAGCTAGTGAAGGGCAGGTGGAGTTCACAGTTGCAGGAAGACCGGGCCTGGGCTGGACAATGCAGGAGGGTCTGGGGGTGCCGTCAAGCAGGGACTGGGCAGGCTTCTGTCCATGGGGTGGTGGACAGGCCTCCGTGGGCAGGGCTAGTCTCAGCGTTGGCAGGTGGCCCAGTGGCAGAATTCCTGCCCAGGTGCTTTGCAGTGATGACAGCGACTGGCTTTGCAATGATGACAGTTGCTCCGGGCCTCCCCAGGTGGTCCAGGCTCTACCCGTTGAGCCTGGGCCCCTTCTCTGAGCCTGCTTTCCTGATGGGCTATTCCCACTAGAGGGCGCCCCTGCTCTCCATTCTGGCGCCAGGGCAGGAATGTGTGGCCCTCTTCCCCGCCGAGTTTCTTCGGCTCATGTGCCCATGGCCCCTGGCACCACCCAGTCAGCCCTGCCTGGAGTGAGGGGCACCCAGATCTGGCCACCTCTGGGACCCCGCGTGGCATGCCTGTTTCCAGTTCCCTAGAACCTGGATGCCCAGCCCATTTTCCCGAGAGCCTGTCTGCTGTCCAGCAGTGCAACAGCTGCCCTCTTCCTGGAAGCCGAGCTGGGCACGCCCCCCGTAAAGGGCAGCGTGTCCTCCCCCCTAGAATGCCACTGGAATGTGCAGCGCCTGAAGGGAGCAGGGACACTGGGGCTGTGGGGCGTCACCCACGGTCCCCCAAGGCAGAGCAGAGGGTCAGGTAGACCCGAGACACCAGACTCCTAGGACCCTCTCCTGCTGGGTCAAGGCTTCCCAGAAGGAGTAATTTTGGGGAGAACTGATGGGGTGACCTTCCCCAAGCATCCCACCCTGCCCTGAATGCCAGCTCCCAGAGCTGCATGGGAAATTCCTGCTGTCTGCTGGGGGGTGGAGGGCACAGCTGGGCCCCCTCCCTTGGGAGCCTCCAGTGGAAACTATGTCTGGCCATGGTGGGTGGTGTGCCCTTCCCCCAAACCTGGGCGGGGCATGCTGGGGTGGGGAGGCCTATGCCAGTGTGAGGACACCCTGCCTAGGCCCGCTGGGGGTAAGGCAGGCAGGGGTCTCCTTGAGGGACTATCAGCCCTGGCCTTGTCTGAGACAGCAGGGCCCACCCCCCAGGTCTGGCGGGGCAGGAACTTTCCCACTTCCTGCAGGGCTAGTTTCTGGGTGACAGGCTGGCTGCCGTGTTTGTTTCCAAGGCGTTGTCATGGAAACTGGGCTGGTCGCTGCTACTGTTTGTCTGCTGTCGTCGCTGGGCGGCGTCGTGGAGGTGGCTGGGTGCCAACTACGCCACCAGGGCTCCCTTGGAGGCACCAGCTCCAGGAAGCCTCCACCCACACGAGCCAAGTGCTTCCTCGGGTGCCCCTAGCCCTGGTCGCCCCCCAGAGGGAGGGGAACCAGGAATGGGCGCCTTTTCCTGGGTGTGTGCCTCCTCCACCCTGCCAAGTGGCTGCTCCAGCCTCAGCTCTCATCTCCTCCCCCACGCCTGGCCAATGAAGGGGCTCTGAAATGCCATCTGACCTCCTCTGTCCCCCGTCAAAACCTCTGGGACCCAAGTCTAGGGGCCCATGAGGCCCTTGAGCCCCGGCTGGCCGAGCTCACACCCAACACCATTCTGCTGAGTCTTTGCTGGGAGCCACATTCTTTCTCTGTGCACAAGGTGGCCACCATCCATCTTCCTGCACCTCCTGGCCAGGTCCCTGCTGGCCCCTGCCCCCACCTCTGGCCTGGGCTGGTGGGGCCCTCGATGTGCTCCTGGCCAGGCCCTCGGGCTGTCCCCACTTCATACCTGCCCCCTTGGCCCTGCCCAGCCTCCCCTGGGCCAGTGACCCCAGAATCAGCCCTGGATGCCTCCTCCCAGGTCTTCCCCAGCCCCCGGTTCCATTCTGACTCGCCTCATCTCAGGCTAGTTTCCCTGACCTTACGCAGGATTTGAGGGGCATGACTCCCTTCTGTCCCTACGCTCAGCTCACTGGCTGCTGGCTGTGGCCCCGGGTGGGGGTGTCAGGAAATCACCGCGTGCCAAGGCCCCCAGCTCCGGCTGTTGACAGCGGAGCACAGCAAGGGCTGGCTGGGGACCAGGAAGGCCAGG